GGAAAACACAAAATAATGGCGTGATGGTCAAAGGTGAAAATATTGATTTTTATGGTTGTTTGACAGACATCATTGAGGTGTCTTATGACACGAAAAGACGTGTAGTTCTATTCAAGTGTGATTGGTGCAATACAAGAAGTGGAATTCAAAAAGATAAATATTTCACTAGTGTCAATCTCTCCCGTCAAGCATATAAGGATGAGCCATTCGTGTTAGCTCATCAAGCCAAACAGGTTTTATACCTCAAGGACAACAAATTAAGGGGTGAATGGGAAGTTGTGCAGCAGATTGATCCTAGGAACTTATACGATGTCCCAGAAAAAGATGATAAAAACAAATAGGTCAAATGAAGGGGAAAGTAGTGAGGAGGTTGCATATCAAGATTTTGAGTCACTAGAAGTTAATGGTGTTGTTCGAGACATAGATTTTTACTCGGTGACATTAACTAATGATGATATGTTTCAAATGAAATTGATTCCGATGCAGTTTATAATATCATAAATAATGCACATGGCAATGATGATGTAGAGAACGTTACCCTTGATTATGAAACTTCTGATGAAGAAGATGCATCCAATGATGATTCGTTGGATGAAGAAGATATTGTGTTTAGTGATGATGATACTGATATAGAATAGTTTGTTGTTTAAAAGTTAAAAATCTTACTTTATTAATATATTAAGAATTTTTATGTTAAGATGTGCTCATTTGTAGTTATGTGTTATTTTGAAATGCTTACATTCCAAATATGACTTGTTTTTTTAGCTTATAATCTGTTTGATTTCATTTTTAAATGGCATTAATAATATGTTTAGTTATATAGAATTGACATTTTCATAAATTTCCTTCATCAAAGTGTATTACTATTGCATTTAAAGGAAGTGATGTTCTTCAAGAGAGGTAGTTTAGTTCTACCATTTCTATATTGTTGTATTTTGTTCCAATGTATACATGGCTCCTACTAGTCGTAAGAGGGTAATGGCTAACACTACTGATATCAACAATGATGAGTTGCAGTCCATGCCGGATGATGGTCAATGTAAGTTAATAGAATAATTTATTATTGCAACTATAATATATTATTGTTTAGAGTATCACTAATACTGAAGTGGATTTATTTGCAGGTTTTGCCACTTCCGTTAAAAGGCGTGGACCCTCAACAAACAAGGCATTGGAGGATGTGTTGGATAAAAATAAGAGGCAGCCATTAGAAGTTACATTTAAAGAAGGACATTTGCAGCATATAGGTAAGAACGCAAAACTTTGGAAGGCTGAAATTGGAGTAGAAACAAGACGTTTTCCAGCTATTTACCCCCGATATGATAAGATACCACCTGAAAATAAAGATGCTGTGTATTATAGATTAAAGGTAATACTTTCATTCGTACAAAACTACTCTCATTCCAATCTCTTTTGCTAATTTCAATAGTTAGTAGTTAATTGACAATGTTTAATTTGATATGTTTTCCAGGTAGTAACTTACGTTTCGCTAAATATATGTTTTTCCTTTACAAATTACCAAAGTCTAACTAATAGATAATACTTTTTCTTATCTATTTGGATAACTAAATTTATTGTTCTATTTCTTTTAGAAAAAATTTAGACCTAATGTTGGTGAACACCATCATAGATGGGCATTCGATCATCAGTTCAGCAAGTGCTTGAAGGCCCGCAGATACAAAATAAAGAATTACTATGATGGCTTTAAAAACGCTGAGCTTGCTCGGCATAACCCATTTGAAGGTGTTCCCAACGAGCATTGGAATCTATTGTGCGACAGATACAGTTCTGAGAATTGTGTGGTAATGAAATAATATACTTACAACTTTGTAATTATTGATTAAGTTTGAATTACACACACAAATATGTTGATATACATGTTTTTTGATTAATTATCATGCAGAATCGCAGTGAGACAAACAAAAAGAATAGGGACAAGGTGAAGAATAAGAATTATGGTGGCTCGAAAGCGTATGTTCAGTACCTGGATGAGATGGTAATGACAAAAGGCTATTCAAATCACATTTTAGTACTTTTTGAAAACTTCTTTATGCATTAATTTTTCAATTAGTTATACTTGTATAGTTAAAATATTCAACGCCCTTATATTTTGGTGTCTCCATTTAAAATAATATGTTTTATACATTAACTAAACTGAAATGTGTGAAGTTATTCAAAACTGTTTTAGTTTCAACTTTAATGAGTTTTGTAGATGATTAATTTGATATAATAAGTTATATATATCAAATTCAACATATATATATATATATATATATGTATTTGTATATACTGTGTATATGTATGTAATGTTTAGTATATGAAAATTATATGTATGTGGATATGAATATATTTGTAATTTAGTCTGAGTTCCCGCTAGCTTTTGTTCCTTATTCGGTTGATTGTTAAGCTTTTTATAGCCCAGTTTGTTCATTTTACTTGCTTATATATCACAGCTTAATAATGAAACTGGGGAAGATGGAAGTGTGATTGAATTCTATGCAAAATCACATATCAAGGAAAATGGGGAATCTATTGATGAAGAGGCTGAGAAGAATTATGTAAGAATGTCTTCATTGTTAATATTTTAGCTTTTATTTAAATTAAAGGATGGTGCACATTTAGGATGACAACTTCGCTTCTGAACATGCAGGCTAGAATGCTAGAAATGAAAAAAGTTGCAATTGAAATTGGAGAAGTAATAACCCACGAGAAAGAGGAAGAAATAATGCTTGAAGTGCTAGGGAATAAGTGTTCATTTTTAAATGGGCCTAATAAGGATATGCCAACTTTGTCAATCCGTGCTACTCAAAAAGATGTGGATGCAGCTAATGCTAGGGCCGACAAAGCAGAAACGAATATGGACGAGATGAGACAAGAGGTGCAAGGGATGAGGGAAGACATGCAGCAACAAATTCAAGAGAAAGTGAAAGAGGCAATGCTTGCTTTTATTGCAAATATTGGGCAGCCTTCCCCTGCACCCCAAAATTAATCTACTTTAGAGTTTTAGAAGGACAACTTTTTAAAATTAATTAGGTCTAATATTTTAGGACTTTGAATACTTTCTTGCAATTTCTTGTTTTTTAACAGTAAACCTATTATTTTTGGGATGATGCATCAATATTCCTTATGCCCTCTTTCTCTCAAATTGTTTGAAAACTCTCTTGTTTCACATTGGATATGGTTTTTGGAAGGATAATTTATGGTAAGTTAGCTAACTTAGAATCAATTTAATTTTTATAATTTTTTTTTTTATCAATAGTTTTTACCAGGTATACAATTTATTTTGCAGGTAGTTCGTCTTGTTAAGAGAGTTGCTTCTTAATTTGTTGGAGTGTTCTATGGCAGTAAGTATTGCCTACCTTGTTTTTATTGGTACTAGGGGTTCACTTATAATGTAATCTATAGCATTTTCTTGTACGCAACATTATGGTAATTGAGTTGATATAATATTGTGAAATTACGTAAGCCATAATTGCTTCATTAATGAGGGGTTTTTATTTTTTATTTTTAAAATTATATTTCATGTTTAAAGTTCTCTTTAAGGGTGTACTGATATTTACACCTTCAATTGTTTCTTAGGAAAAAAATTGCTTTATTCTTTGGACCAGGAATTAATGCTGAAGTTGGTAAGTTTTAAATTTGTTGATTTTGATGAGATGTGATAATTTTTTATAAATGCATACAGCAGTCTTGGAGAATATGATATTACGTATTGCAGTATTTGTTTTTTTGTATAAAAGTTGAGTAATATACCAACAAAGCTGAAGACATATTACTTTTATTATCGTGTATAAAGAAAATTAAATTTGAGTACGTTTCTCTTCTAGTCAGTTTATGCAATGCTACATTCTCTATCTATTCGTCCATTAAATTGCATATAATTAGAAAAAAAAAGTTTATATAATCTTACAAATTGTACACAATATTGTAATGACCTTTATCTTTTTGAATTGTAGAGCGATTATTTGGGATGACATGAAGAAAATGAAGTATTCATGACAACGACGAACTAAAGTGATGAGATTCCATACGAAGAACTTTGAGGTGCTGCCATAGAGGGAGAGTTAGGAGTTTGCTTTTATGTTTTAGTTTGGTCTTTAATTTGTATTAGACAATTGGAAATTTAGTTTATATTTGACTCAGAATTGAACAAATGTATAAATTTATTCAAATTGATGTTAATTTTGTATTTGAACTCAAAATTATTATGTATTGCATAATAAAATTTAATGTTATGTTTAAATTTGTATTGCTATATAGAGTTTGAAATTTGTGGACCTGTGCTACTATTTGGACTTTTTTATAATATTAGCAAAAACGATAAGAAGTTTAGAAATTAAAGCATGCAAAAAATGGTTTTTAGCAATGAAAGACCATTGTCATTGGGTAAGTTAGTGACGAAAACTTTCGTTGATAATGCCCAATAAAATGTGACAAACATTTTAGTCACTAAAAGGCAAACAGATGTAACGAAAAGTATGTCACTAAAAGTCATGCAATAGTGATGAAAATGTGACAAACGTTTTAGTCACTAAAAGGCAAATAAATGTGACGAAAAATATGGTTGCTAAACGTCATGCAATAATGATGAAAATGTCCGTCACTAGAAGGCAAGCAAATGTGACGAAAAGTATGGTCACTAAAAGTGATGCAATAGTGACGCAAATTTTTTTGTCACTAAAAGCAAAGTCAATAGTGACGTAATTTGCATTCGTCACTATAGATCAACCGAGACGATTATATAGCAACGAAATATTGACAAATGATTTTTCGTCACTAAAAACTTTTAGCAACAAAAATTTTGTTTTTTGTGACGAAAAAAAACGTTGCTAAAGCTCCGAATTTATCTACTTTTTGTTTCCTAAACATGTAGGCGTAAGCATTATGACCATGCGGAGTAAGAGTAGATTTTCCTTTTGCTTTCACAATAGGAAGCATAGTAGATTTATTAATAACATTAGTAGGAGGCATATATATATATATATATATATATATGACACGTATAGAAAAAAAAAAAAAAATAGAGAGATAAAATAAGTTAATTAATTGTTATTGTTTGTTCTCACATCCTCTTTAATTTCCAATTTGTTAAAATAAGAAACAAAAAATAAATAATTAATTATAAAAAGTGTAATACTATCAAAATAAAGGATATTTATGCCTTTTTAATTATTGCGACCTCAAATTTGAGATACACATGTCGAATCTAATTCTAGATGGCACTTACCCCCTCATTCCTCATTTCCTCGATCGCTTTAAGAATGAGCCTAAGTTGACTCTTCAACTTGTCCGACTTGCAACCATAGACGAATAAGTACAGAAAAATATTTTCTTCAATAAAGGTAAACATTTACATTACGCACATTTCTTACGTACGCAAAAACATTTCCAAGTATCAGATACCAAGAATTGCACCCATGAACTACTTTTACTTGTTTTTTTAAATATTGAGGTGGTTGATGAGAGACAAAGCATTACTAGTAAGTTTGGCAATTCCCAATTTGCTGTTCCTGATAGTGTTCTTCACAGTGGGACTTATATTCCGGCCAGCGAATCCGTCTGTGCACGTATCCTCATCGGTGATGGCTGCGCTCATCCACGTCTTCACATCCGCCATCAGAGACTCCTTATCGGCCTTAGCGCCAATGAGGCTTCCCATTGCCTTGAGAGATTGCTTGAGGTCGTCAATGCTGTCCCCTACGTTCTCAATGCAGTCCTTAATGGTCGCGGCTTCGGTGTGTGTGATACCCTTCTGTTCAGTTAGCTTTGACACCACGCTCAATGTGTTGCGAGCAGCTCGTATGGTGACGGAGAGGGCGGCGTTGCAGAGCCCTTTGGGGCTGGTTTTGACGGACGGGGCATAGGGAGAGAGGGACTTGTAGCAGAGTGATGGATAAGTGGTTGAGTTACATGAGGTTTTGATGAAGTTTGTGCAGGTTTTGGGTGCTTTGGAAGCTAGGGTTGGTTTCATGTGAGAGATGAATACAAGGACGGTTATAAGGAATGTGATAATATTGTATGAGCATGGGTTTGTAAGATTGGAAGCTCCCATGATCTCCAGCTCTCTCTCTCTAGATCTCTAAATATTTGCAACTTGGACTGATAGGTTAATATTTGAGATGGCAAATTTATAGGGCCCAGTGTCTGTTGGATTAGTTTGTGGAAGATTATATATATATATATACACACACATATATTTTAACAAAAAAAAAAGGTTATATATATATATATATATTGAATAGGCGACCCTTGACATATGATATATATAGTATGAGGTTATTGTGATTGCGTGATATAATATATTTTGGTAACGATTCAGTTCTGGCGCAGCCACATGCATTATATTGGTATCTTCTATTAATTTATTAACTATAATGTATATAAATTAATTACCAAAATATATATCAATGTATATTAATGTATATAAATTAATTAATTCAAATAAAGATATAAAAAATTATGTACTATTAGAATTCATTTATGTTTATGTTTATATATATATATATATATATATATATATATATATATATAAATTAGTTAACTACTCACATACATGTCACAAATTATTCAAGGTAGAAAATATACAATTAGACTAACGATGACCCATTAGTTATTAATTTATTTGTTGATTACCAAAACAATTTTTTCCCCAAAATTCAAGGAAAATAGAATTTGCAATGAAACATATAACAATTTCTTTTTTCTTTTTTTTTTTTTGTGCTTTGGACCATGTTAGTAAAAGGTAAAAAGTTAAGTGGACAATTCTCTCTAACGCAACCTATTTACATACATTTAGCTAGGACTTGTTTGGCAATTGAAAATGTTTTGCATTTTTATTTTTATTTAAAAACAGAAGCAACAGCTAATTTTGTTGTAGAGTGTATTCAATAATGATTGGTGGAAGTATGTTTGGTAACGTTAAATTTGTTGTAAAATTTTTTGAAACAAAAATTTGAAAACAAGTTTAGTAAAAAAGAGTTACAATTTTGAATAATAAAATGACTATGTAAAAAAGGTCATTTAGAATAAATTTTTTTTCTTTTTGTTTTTATTTTTATTTTTTGTACCGTTCATCTCTACAATGCAGAAACAATAGTGGTTTTGGCCTATTTTCAGAAACAAAGATGGCACTATTTAAATTGCAATAAAAGTGACCAAACACGATTCTATAATTTTGTTTTGCTATCACCTTCCGCAACAACAAAAATACGAAGAAAAGTAGTTGTCAAACTAAGACCTTAACAAACCAAAAATTAAAACCTACTTGCATACAACTTCCTTTTCAAGCCATTTAGGTCGAGAAGTGTTTCAACTAAATAACTCTACAGAAATTTTGATTCGAAATCGTGATGACGACTTGCATGGCATAAAAGAATATTTTTTTCTAGAAACAAAAAAAAAAAAAAAAAAAGAGGTCTTGAACAGGCCATGTGCTGCCCTATAAGGACGGAACATGTATAGCAGTTGACACAAAGGCTTGCAATGAAAGTCAAAGACCACAGAATTTTCACGTGGCGTACACCATAGGCTGAGTGAAATGCTGCTGGAGAGAAGGCGCTGTTAGTGGAGAGAATTTTGAAAATTAGATGGATCATCGTTGGCCACTTTCTTGACAAAACGGAAATAAGAGAGAATGGACACTTCGAAGGATAACAAAGTATTATACTAGTAATTCATATAAAATGATAAGACAGACAGATTTTTATTTTTTGTGGAGCAAAAACATCTACCTTCTAGGTTGAGAATATTTCGAATCCATGTTATATAAGATGACATTAATTTTGTTAATTCGTGTGTGTTGTAATATGCGGAATGGATGTGAATGTTAGATATAAAATAATTTAGAGGAGTGAATACTGAATAGATTTTACTTGCTCTTTTTTATTTTTTATTTTAATTTTATCGAAATAAACCTAAAATCAAATACACAAAGCAAAAATAAAGTGCAAGTAAAGTAAATAAAATTTGAGAGATGGCACTAAGTTTGTATGCGTGGAAACCCTATTTAGAAGAAATCAGACCAATCGGGATGAAAACCACGCATATTTCGTCGTCTTGAGCGAAACGATCTACTATGTTTGAAGCAAAGTACAATCTACTCTGCCTGATACTCACACCCTATCATTCTATCAAAAACCAATTACTGATAATCCATAGCTTTGCGACTCATCCCTCGTCCAACAGCTCTCAACATCAGGCTTATTCTTGATCTTTGTAGAAGGATCGCTGGTAGATCAACTAACACTCTACGAATGTCTTAATTCCTCAAAGTGTGACCCCTTCCTCCTTTTCTTCAAATATGATTTTGATGTAGAAAAATAAAATCCTGCTTCTCAGAATAGTTAAATCTTCAACAATACTTTGATTTCGATCAGATAGAGAACACCAACCTAAATTACTCTTGTATTTATGTGTGTGATCTCAAAAATAAAATCAGAAAAATTAAATTAATTTTCTGAATAATTAAAAAAAAATATCTCTCAAACAATTCTCTTAATTAGAAAAGTATAAATTTTCAAGCCCTAATTTTTTTAAAAAGAGAAATAGAGTTTTTATAGATTTTAGAGAGACCAAAAAAGTATTTGGAAACCAAGTTAATATCATGTATAAATATCTCTCCAAAATTTTATTAAAAAGGAAACCCAAAAAGAATAGAATTGCAACTTTCCTTGTTGGTCAGTAAGAGCGCCACCGGTTGCATAGGGCACAACCGGTTTCGTTTTACCTATACGCAATTTAACAAAAAGTGGTTTCCAAAAACATGTTGTGTAACCAGTCGCGTGGGGGCACAATAGGTTCCGTATCGACAGAGACTTTCATTCCCAAAAGCGTATTTTTGAAATACACATGTGCAACCCGTCGTGATATGCGTGCGCAACGCGTCGTGTGGTATGTGACCGATTCGCTACGCTAGTGAGTTTTCTTTGCAAACATATTTTGGGAAGTAAAAGATTACCACTACCAAAACTCACCAGAAGTAAAAATAACGTGTTAACGTGTCATCACCAACATACCTTCTCTAATATGATGTTCTCAACCGAATCAAGATTAAATGTATATTGGTTACCCGTGTTGTTTCGCTTCCATCATCGAGACTCACAAAATTAAACAAAAAATTACAACTCGATCGGACTTGTTTTGATAGCGAAATTTGTCAATTACAAAACTAATATATCGTAATATCCTCCTTTGGTAATTTCGTGACAAAACTCCTAAGATAACATGTAATCTACTAAAGCAGGAAAAACAAATTACATTGATTTTCCAAAAAATAGAAAAACAACAGAACTTTGACCATAAACTTCATCAAGGTAATAAAGTACGTCTTTAATGGAAACAACGTACCTGTAAAACGTACCTATGCAATGCTCAAACAAAACTATCTGTGAAAACTTAATAAAAAAGTATAAACAATCAATATATTTCTCTCTCTCAATTCTAAAAACTCTCACCTTAAATATACACACTTCTCCCCATTTTTGTTACAAATTAACAAATAAAGCTTAAGAAATAAGGAAAATAAATAATAAGAGAGAATTAACATAAAGAGAGACAAAAATATCAGTCATGCAAGAAATACAGAAATAAGCACAAAAACATGATGATATATGATAACAATGAAAGATATTCAAAATAACATATGTTTCATTCAATTTAATAATATACATAAAACCACACTTGATATCTCCTCCATAAACATGAAGTACCTCTTCTCCCTTTATGTAAGAAACATAAAAAAGAAAAGAATAAATTAAGAGAGAATATCAATATCCAATCAAAAATTAAGCTAAAAGTTCACACAAGATGAGTTTGAATAATTTAAAATTTAAGTATGAAACTATAATCTTCCATCATCATTAAAAATATCTAAGATATGTCCATATACATGATCAAATAATGTATCCACCAATAGCTATCATCATTAAAATAATATCACCAAGAGACATCCAAATATAGACATAATCATCATAATATCTCCAAAAATATTGATCGTTGTGGATTTAGATATGTGTATAGAGGATACCTTTGAAAAGATTGCTCTTATTTGAGATCGCATGCGCACTGCCCAGAGTAGGCAGCAGAGTTATATAGATCGTCTTACTTGTAGTTTAGAGTTTCAAGTTAGAGACCAGGTCTTGCTCAAAGTGTCTCCCATGAAGGGAGTAACACGCTTTGGGAAGAAAGGGAAGCTATCACCATGGTTCGTGGGTCCTTTTATGATTAAGAATTGTGTGTGAGTTATAACTTATCGATTAGCACTTCTGGACCATTTATATCATGTCCATAATGTGTTTCATATGTCCATGTTCCAGAAATTCTACAAGATGAGGATCGCTATAAGCTTACAGATATCGGCGAAAATTGAGTTGCAACCTGATACGACACACATAGAGCCACCGTGTCCCCCTTGACTGTAGGGATTAGGTTCTTCACAATAAGGTTATTCTTATTGTGCGTGTTTAGTGGAACCATCATAATGAGGCCGAGTTCACTTGGGAACAGGAAGACTTAATCCGTTTAACGTTCCAGAGTTATTTAATTAAGGTAAAAGGTGAATTTCGAGGACGAAATTCCTTTATTTTTTTTTGGGGGGGGGGGGGGGGGGGGCGTGGAATGTAATACTCCTAATTTCTGGAGATTTATTTAATTATTTTGCATTTTTATTTAATTATGTACCTATTTGATTATCTGTTTTTAATTATTTTATCTTTATTTAATTTAAATTTATTAATATGGCTAATTGTTTATGTGCATTCATTTATTTGATTCCATGCATTTAATTATGTGGCTTTGTGTGATGTATTAATTTAATTAATTGTTTGTAAATGTTTAATTATGTAAGATTAAATGTTATGTTATGTTATTTTATTTATTTATTTATTTTTTAAAGAGATGAATTTGGGTTGTAATCCTCGGACCAACTAGATGGGTCTTGGACTATTTAGAAGGGATCCTAAATGGGTTAGATATTGACCAATGGAACTGACTATGTATATATATATATATATGTACAATAAATGTTGTGTGAGTGTGTATATATATATATATATATATTATGTTTTATTTTAATAATTATAT